GAGAGAGGATAGAGAGAGAGAGAGAGAGAGAGAGAGAGAGAGAGAGAGAGAGAGAGAGAGAGAGAGAGAGAGAGGAGAGAGGAGGAGGGGGAAGAGAGGAGAGAGAGAGCGGAGAGAGAGAGAGAGAGAGAGGAGAGAGAGAATCCTTGCACAGTGAGTGCCTCTATGTCGGTTGGAGTATGCATATATATATATATATATATATATATATATATATATATATATATATATATATATATAATGCACATATATATATATATATATGTATATATATATATATATATATATATATATATATATATATATATACAGTACATGCATTACGTTCGCTCCCCATGAGGAAATCCTGTATCCACCCGTCACACCTTTTTGCGTCTTTATCTAGCTGAAAGCTGAAAGCAATTGATCGTGATCTGAAAAGGACTACGATCAACGGCGTGCATGCATTATGAGCTTGCGGCCAAGGCGTATGGCAGACCGTATGCAAGCGTGTTGTCTGGAACTGCTATGTTCGAGATCCCGTCGTTTTCAAAATACAAACCAGCGTCTGTGCTGCAGGTTGCTCAATCTGCAGTGACGCAGTACTGGGTGTCATGAATGAAGCGACTTGACATACTTCAATGTTCTTAAGAGAGGCGACCGCCCTTTCGGCGTAGAGGAAAGCGTCACGGTGACCGGCATATTTTCCGGCCACCGGCGATGATTCCCTGAGGCAGACCACCTTCTCACCTCGCCAAACACGGGAAGCAGGTCGATCCAGAAGAGCGCCGCGCTGACCACGAGAGCAGAGGTCGTCACGACAGCGGTGCTCGCGATGTCATCCCACCACGATGGACAGGTTTTCTGAAATGCGGAGCGCTTATCAGCGGCGAGCGCTTACACAATCACATGCACACCAGGTCCCAAGCACATCCAGCTGATAGAATGCTATAGTTGACGGAAATCATTGGGAACAAAACCGGACCCATCAAATAGTACTTCGCTGTCAGTGCAGACTGTATGGGCACAAGCCAGGGTAGATGATGGCAAAAAAATTGCTTCTAGTGAGAAGTCTTCTCTACCATCACCTCTAAGCACAGTAAGACGCAACAATTTTCACATTTGGCATCCGCGATTGACCTTCCCCTCACCGTGCGCCTGGCCACTATTCATATCTTTTAGATGGCTCGTCGTCACCTTGGGTTGATCCTCACCGTGCCGTCTTTGCGTCGACAGTCGAAATGCGCCTCGAGCAGCAGTGAGGCACCGCAGACCAACGCGAGGCCTACCGCGCCGCTGGCCACCCACAACACGTGCTGCCCTCTGTCGGCCGCCCCGCCTGAACGCCAGCTGGCGCTGCGGTCGTCGCCATGGCAACTGTACTTGTTGCACGCTTGGTAGCTGACGCCGATGAAGACCCCAAGGCACACAATCACCTGGGCGATCGTTGAGCGCAGACGACCTGAAATCATGCAAAAAGTTGTAGGTAATGAAAGAGTAGAGCGACAAAACATCTAACATCATTACTTCCTTTACGTACTTCCTCACCACGCGTTGGAGCACAGTAAATGTCAAAGCTGACCACAAACACCTGACAACATACGAGGAGGACGAGAGCGTCTGCAAGCCCGCATCATTCGGGCTTGGGCTATAAAACCCAATCACTTGGATGAGTGCTAACAAAGCAGTCAATGACAAGTTCTCGCGTGGGTGACGCTCTCCCCGGGGGAGGTGTGGGACGAGGCCTCGTCCTCATGTACACAAAGTAATCACGCGCCAGGAGCGGTCCGCATAAGGACACGCCTCGGACTGTGGCCCCCAGTCATCCCGAGGCGCCCGGCCCTCGCTCAGCTGACTGGCCTGCTATTTCGGGAGCCAGCCACGCCGACGACTGCCTTCGCCTGTCACGGACGCCGTGCGAGACTGCAGACTTGGAATACAGCTCTCAGCCCCGTCGGACGTCCCCCTTTCGTTTCTCGCCAAGAGGGTGGTCACCGTTTCCTGGTTATTCAGTCGCATGGCAATATCGAAGTAAGAATACGTACTGTCGATGCATGCCCGCTTGCCGATGGGTTACGAGTAAGCCTAAGTTCGGCCTTCAAGTATGTATGAACTGGCTCGGTTTGGCGAGGTTTTGATAATGACGAAATCTAAGGTAATTTGAACATGTGCACCCGTCTGTATGTCTCCGTGTACACACTGATTTGCGTGTGCGAACATCTACTGCGCGGATATTAACGTTTATGGACATCGGCACTTGCGAATATCTGTGGCACAAATAACTGCGCGAGGTATATCACCTCCATCCTCACTCATCCCTGCCGAGAATCCAGGAAAAACCAAGACGCAGCGTTCAGTCAAAGAAACCGGCAAGAACCAAGATATTACCAAACATTCCTGTAAGGAGCCAATGCGCATTCACGCACCACGCTTTCATTGTGCGCGTCCCACAAGTAAATGGTTCAGAACACATGCAGAATATCTTTTTTCAGGCAACATACCGGCAATGGTCGAAAAGAGACAAAACGTTATACCAGGCTGGTGTTGACGAATGAGCCAATGATAAGCAGGAATGTGTCCTGCTGTTTTGCGAGTAAATCAATGGGAACGAGGAACCAGGCTCTGGTTTTTGTGGAAAGCAAATGAGAACCAGGAACCATGATGTTGATTTGGAAAGGAGCCAATGGGAACCAAGAACCCGGGTCTTGTGTTTGTGAAGAATCAATGACAACCACGAGCAAAGGTTTAGTATCTGCAAAACAGCCAATGAGATCCAGAAACCAGGGGCTGGGGTTTAGACAGAGCAAACCGCAGCCAGGATCCAGGGTTTTAGTTTTAGAAGACAAAGTGAAAACCAGGAATCAACTTTGGATCTAAGCACATGTCAGCTGATGGAAATTTTAGCAATGTTAACGAATGTACGTGGCATGGTTGGTTCGGAAAGATGGCCTTACTCGGCATTGACCGGGATCCTCGCTGGCACACCATTGACCGGAGGGGGCAGATTTGATCCGCTGCTTATCTCAAGGACGGCCGGGCCGAATTAAAAAATAAAATTGCTATAAAAACAACTTAAGATTAAGTGTATTTTCAGGTCACGGGTCAAGGTCAAATTACAAATATGTTAGGTTGGAATATCTGACCGCTCCCACAAGGCACTTCATTTCGAAGGGAATCTCATGGTGTAAAATAATTGCACCCTAATCAAGTGTACTACATCGGAAAGTGGCCGATGTTATGCGCGCCGTACTGGGCCGAGAACGAAGGTCATGTGCCGCGCAAATGAGAACTGAAGCCTTAATTTGTTGTCTATTTTGGTCTATTTATTTTTGTCATATCTGAAACATCTAAACACGAAGATGAGCTTAGCCGCAATTATGGGTATAGTACACGTGAGCAAGAGCTCTTACTGGTTGATAAAGCGCCTAAGGTCAGGGTCAGATGGATAAACTCGGTAGTGAATAAGCGGTTGGATCGATTTTCGCATTTTCGACGATTAACCCCTGCCGATAGCGTAGCTTGATACCCTTCAACCCCGCCGCCTAGTCATCGCGCCACTACGGTAGGCTTGAGTCGCGCATCACAAGCCCAGATGGGTTTGGGCCCGCCGCCTTGGGCCAAGGACCACCTTGTCACGGGCGACATGCGCTGCGATGCATTTGTCATAACCAGCAAGGCTCGCTTTTTAAGCCATAGGTCATTCATTGCTACTGGTAATTACTTGAAACTTGGTACATGTATCTCTCATAGTCACATCTGGGATGCCTTTTTCATGTCTTCATAACTTCCAGTCTAAGACAAAAAAAAAATGCAGCGCGCACTTTTGTAAGAAATCTTTATCATTTGTCATTCCACTATTTTAATGTCCAATATTGAAACAACACGACAAGGCGCATCATGACAGACCAATAAGTTCACATTTCCTATTTGCAGATATAAGATATGCTCTTTCGTTTGGCTTCTGTGTCAACTTTTCTACGGCCACGCGCTTCCGTAAAAAATCCATAAGCATGACGTCACTCCGACGCCAATCACGTTTGATTTCTTATTGTGTCATAATTGGAACATTGGCACAAGACGTAGAATTAACTAACTAATTGGTACTGAAAATTTTGCAGCGATATCCCAAGGTGTTTTTAATCATCACGAATATTGGACGGGGAGCCGATTTGACCTCCCCCCTCGCGGTCAGTGCGTAGGCGGATCTTGGGGGGGGGGGGGGCACGGGGCCATGGCCCCCAAAAACTCTAAGAGCATGACTTGCCCCCCAAACATTCCCAGAATTTTATAAAAGTTTTGTCTACTTACCGTTTGTTTTAACTTCAACTGTTTCAACTGTTTTATTTTGACTTTTGTTTAAGATTCAAAAGCATTTCGGTGCTTGAATGGTGTCCCTACTAGGTGTTCGCGAGAGGCACCATGTACTGGACCTTGGATCTCATACCAGCCAGCTGGCGACGAACGGTCGCCCCCCCCCCAAAAAAAAACAAACAAAACAACAACTCTAGGCTAGATCCGCCCCTGGGTCAGTGCCGGGTTCAGTTGGAAAGGCAAACAGAGAAGACCGTGATTGCGAGATACCCAATTAAATCATGAATGTTGTGCGTGCATTGCATAACTCCTTTCGAAATACGTCATAAACCAGCCATATGTGTCCGAAATGTGTAGTGAGGTTGAGATCACCATTGTGCCGCAGCACCGGCACGTGCTGCAGCTTGCACGGCTGCCGGGCCGGTGCCGCTCTCGTCCCGTACAGGGCCCGCGGCCGTCCCGCCAGTGACGTCACCAGACCGGTTTCGTGAGCGGCGGGGTGGCCTGGTGCCCGAGAGCGGGCTGAGAGCGGCAGCAGAAGTGACACGCGACTGCCACCGAGAGCCGGGACATGGAGCGTGGTCAGACTACGCGGTCTGTACGACACGGCCACCGAGGGCAGCGACACGGAGCGTGGTCAGACTGTGCGGTCTGTGCGACACTGCCGCCGAGGGCAGCGACGCGGGGCGTGGTCAGACTGTGCGGTCTGTTCGACACTGCCGCCGAGGGCGGCGGCACGGAGCGTGGTCAGACTGTGCGGTCTGTTCGACACTGCCGCCGAGGGCGGCGGCACGGAGCGTGGTCAGACTGTGCGGTCTGTTCGACACTGCCGCCGAGGGCGGCGACGCGGGGCGTGGTCAGACTGTGCGGTCTGTTCGACACTGCCGCCGAGGGCGGCGGCACGGAGCGTGGTCAGACTGTGCGGTCTGTTCGACACTGCCGCCGGGGGCAGCGGCACGGGGCGTGGTCAGACTGTGCGGTCTGTTCGGCACGCCCACCCAGAACTTTCCCTTCCGCCTCTCGAGCCACGGTCGCGTCCGTCTTTCTTGAGCTTAGTTTGGTGGTGTGAGCGGGCCTTGCTGCTTGAAGGGAAGCGTCACAGCAAAAAATGAGTGCATTTACGTTCACGGCCCTCTTCATCTTCACGGGGATTTTCCACCGTCTTCAGTGTTGAAAGGATGGGACGTACAACGTGGGCCAGCGTAGCACATTTTTGCACCTTTTGAAGGCCTCGCCAGATGAAAGTTAGAGCAAGGTCAGGTCATTCCTGCCCAGGTTGTAGTCTTAAAACTGCTCAATCATTCACTGGAGGCCTTTCTCCATGTTAGCCTACTGGGCCGTGCAGCCTAGTTTACGCTGCGGCGAAATTGTTTGTTTGACAATGCTACGGTTGATCAAGTGCCAAGTGATGTGTGCTGACTGCTATTGTTTGCGTTTGGTGCCAGTGAGCCTGTATAGAGCTTGATGTGAAAGTCAGGCCCAGGTTGAGACCATGCTAAACAACCTGATAGCAAATCTGAAAGGTCGAACTCATTGAGCCTGCGCGCATTTTACCTCCCTTCACAAAGTGCGTGGCCAACCATCCGCTGTATGTTGGTGGTGATGCTTTAGGGCACCACTTTACGCACTATTCTGCTGTTTCCTGGTGAGCCACCAGCCACCAGTGGCGACAGTCCACAGCAGAAGGCACGCGACGGTTGGCCGCGGGTGCAGGACAAGAGTGCACAAACAGATCTTTTGCACCCTTTAAAGAAGCCTGCCCTCTTTAGCCAATAATATACATATCTTCTTCTACCTCTTGAGCATAGTTTGCCAATAACAAAACAATTGTGGGAGATATTGACGTACAACGAACGAGGAAAGGAGAAAAACGGTGCGTAAATATTGACAGCAAACACGCGGGATGTGCTTCTAAGCCTGATTTGACAATCACAGGGCCGGCCTAGGTTTTCCAAATTGCCGCAGAATGGAGTTTTTGGTGATCTTCATCAGAAATACTGCCAATCGTTGGTTTAATGTTTCATAGTTGCAGAGACCGCAGGGCAGAGCTACTTTCGCCGACCCACTTCCAAGATGAATGCTTCTCTGAGTCTTCTCAGTGTATGTGCTGATGATGGAATTGTGGTAACATCTTCGTCTTCACACAGCGCCTTATGTTTAATTCATCTGATGTAGTTGCCATGACTCGTCTGTTGACGCAGTGAGCAGTGTTGCAGCGCTCATCCGAATACTGCTCAGCTCCCGCCCGGGCGTGCGCCCACGGCGGGACGCTGCAGCCGGCCTCTGCCCGCCTCTGGCGCCCGACGACCCAGCGGAAGCGTCGGTCGGACGCGGTGACCGGCCTCTGCCCGCCTCTGGCGCCCGACGGCTCAGCGGAAGTCTCGGTCAGACGCGGTGACCGCACGCCTCTGGCGCCCGACGGCTCAGTGGAAGCGTCGGTCGGACGCGGTGACCGGCCTCTGCCCGCCTCTAGCGCCCGACGGCTCAGTGGAAGCGTCCGTCAGACGCGGTGACCGTACGCCTCTGGCGCCCGACGGCCCAACGGAAGTCTCAGTTAGATGCAGCGTGCAGGCTAGCAGCGTCGCTGCCACTATTGGGCATGGAAACTGTGCTGGATTCCACGCAACTGAACTAACAGTGCACAGCGTTGACAGGTGCCCGGGTGACCGGCTGAATACCCTTCGCTCGGGGGCGGGGGGCAATTTGACCGCTGAGATCTCACAAAATAAGAGAGCCAGAAACACTAAATTCTCAGAATGTGTTTGCCCGCACGTGAAAACACTTGTGTCAAATTTAAGGTTCCTAGGTCGTGATCTTTGGGTCGAATAAGGTTAAACAAGTGTATACTCCAGATTGGTGTCCAAAGTGCCCCAAGACTTTCTTACGCAAGCAGCGGGAAACTAGACACAGGTTCTAATCGAAAGGTCTCTGTTGCTCATTTGGGGTCTTTGACCTTTTCTGGCCTTGGTTAAGGTTATGGTGACAAAAATAATGCAAGACTGCCCTTATTTTTTGCTTTTGAATAAGCGCCAAGGACTTCGCTAGGTGGTATCTTCCTAAAAATAAAATTTTGATCCGGGTTATTTTAGGTCAGTGACGCATTGGTACCTTTCAGAAGCTCATACAAGTTGTCTGATTTCGTTCACGTTATCAATAAATTTAAAATGAGCACCAGATATTACCTCACACAGCACGCTCTAGAGTAAAAAACAGGTTGGTTTCACCTTGGTCTGATCTTCATGCCTGCTCCTAGGTGAATGGAATTTGTTAATTCAGTTATTGTGTTGTCTAAGAAGCCACCTCAGACATGTGTGGCTTCGCATGAGTGCGTCGAATTTTAAATGCCAGCAACAGTGGTATAGCCATATTCGCGTGAATTGCATTTTGAGACCCAGCCAAAACTGAAACGTCCGCGGTTGGGCAGCGTTTACCTGTTATTATCCGGTTTTAACTGTATTATCACACTGATTTCTACCCATTATTCATAGCCGCCCTGCGCGGCTCTCATCATTTCCCTCAGTCGTTGAAAAATTTAGCCGTCGTCTGGTATTATGATAAGTGAACATCATAAACCTGATAAAGGCGGGGAGGGGAGGAGCACATGCCCCGGCGGCCACTATGTGCGTTCGCACCTGGTTCTGTCAGCTATAGCAAAACCTGGACATCGCTTTAGTTGCGCATACGGCAAGCATAACAGAGTGAAGAATCAAAGTGGTATTAGGGAAAACCTTTAAGTGTCATCGGCATTACTGCTTGCTATTTTGGTTTGGTTCAGCTCCTATTACGGCACGCCCCCGCGAATGGAAAACTCGATCTGGCGTCTGCACACCAGCTGTGCCTACCTTGTCATGGACTACCGCACAGTTACACTTTAAAGTGAAATGCCCTGTACAAATGCTGCAGTGGCAGCCGTTCTGCACCGCTGCTCGAGCCCCGTTATCTGCGCCATCCACACGCCAGCCAGCGCGAATCTCACCCGTTCGGGGTCAGGCTTCCCAGTGCCGCGTCCAGTGCCGCGAAGGATTTGTTCGGGTGGGTTTTCCAGATGCTGAGCGCTTATTGAAGGAGACTACAGGAGAAAGGAACGGTTCTTGCTTTGTTTTCTCACTGTAAACTATGAGCTTTTGCCCCGGATGTAACGTAAGAACGGCACCTCCCAGTTCTTGGGTAATCGTGCGCTTGGAAAGCCAGCGAATGTGTCTAGTACTGACAGCATGACAGAAGGGCTTCTGGTGATTCCGGGAACCGGTCAGTGGCGTGCTGGCCTCCACAGTCCAGAGCAACTTATTGACATTGCTCAGCCGAGAGCAGAGCAACTTATTGACATTGCTCTTCATAAGCTCAAGAATGTGCGCTCAAACACACACTTGCGTGCTCGTAAAGTGTTGTTCCGACACTCACCTTCCAGTCAAGCATGAACAGTGCAAACATACTGAATCAATTTACCTTTCGCATTTTCCGGCACCTAGTAGAGCAGCATTACCAGACGGTCCCGCGCAGGAAAACCCTTCCCATATCATCCCAGCCGTGGCCATCCCTCGCCGCCCATGTCCCGTCTGCTCACGTTTGGACGTCGTCAGCAGGTGGCCGATGAAGGCGAACACGACAAGCACGGCCAGCAGCGGGTCCTGTATGTTGCAGCCGAGCCGGTTGCGATGTCGTCCGGCCAGCACCAGCAGACTGCCGGCGGCGCCGAGCGCGGCGGCCGTGGCGAGGCGGCCGGGCGGCGCCGGCCGGCCGCCTCGCCACAGCGCCGCGCCGCCGGCCGGCGCCGCCAGCACCGCCGCCAGCACCGCCAGCGCCAGCGACGCCGGGTACAGCCCGACGCCAGCGACGCGCAGCGCATCGCGGAACAGCGCTAGCTGGACCAGCAGCAGCGCGGCCAGCGCGACCAGCAGCGCGCTGAGCCCGGCCAGCTGCGTGGCCGTCAGGAGTCGGGCCAGGCGGGGTGGCGCCGGCGGGAGCGCAGGCCGCTGCCGGTCCGGCGCTTCGCTCAGCTCAGCCTCTTCGCGCGGCACCAGCGCCTCCCGGTCGTCACTGCTCATGGTGCTGCGGACGGCTTCAGTGGGGGCGAACCGGACCCGGTCTGAAAGTGAACCTGCCGAGGCGAAAAAACCTGCCGCGCTCAGCACGGGCGACGCTGACCCGAATCTCGCCCGGTCGGCATGGACACGGAGTGGTACGTGCCGGTACACACAGCTGACTGGCTGACCTACACACCCAAGCGCACGCACGTACACACGCACGTAATGGTGAAAGCGAGTGAAACTTGGAGGGCGGACTGGTGGTCGCGCCTCCCAGTACGTGAGTCGACGTAAAAAGTCGCATTAGGAAGCATAGTGCGTTAAAAGCAGGCTTTGCCCCATTGCTGTTTGTGTCACGCTCAGCTAACTTAGCGTTTGTTTTTGTTTGTTCCAAGAAAACAAGCTACTTTTAACCCAGCCGGCAAACAAATCACATGTTTTTTACTTCTAAACTCTAGGAAACCACTATCAGGTACCGAACCAGTCGTGGCCAAAAGACGCATCAGGACCTAAATATAAGTCCTTTTAACTGGAAGACCAGTGGAGATGACAACTAAGTACAATTAACGCGGCCGAGCGACCCCCAAGAGGCCTTGTTTGGTCCATAGGTCTAAGAATGTCAAAGGGAGCTTTTTAACTGTGGGACGAAATGTAACTGCACACACGCGCTACTAGATAAGCGTGAGCAAATTGAAATGCGAAGTCCATCGCCCAACATTCGCTCTCTAAAATCCAAAAATTATGCTTGAAACAGCTACAGCTGTCCGAACCTTTTCCGTACGTCTGCAGGTGGACTTATGATCGTTACCATCTGACATTTTTTTTTTGACGTTACATGGGTTTCAGTTGCGCTCCAGCAAATTATCCTCTTCCACCAGCCATGTTGTCTTCAGCTTATGTTGACAAATAGCATGCTAGTCTGAAATGCTAATTTCGTTCGGAAGAATAAACTAAAACCATCACCAAGCCCACCCATGCGTCGCAGCCGACCTATCCGTCTCTTTATACGCTGGAAATCAGGCCGACTGACCGACCATAGCTGTTGCTGTGAAAGTGACTTCTGGCACAGCATATAGGTACATGTAGCCTGAAGAAAATACAATCGAATTGTTTGATACTGCCCTTCGCCTGTGCGGGTGGCCGGTTAGATGCAACGCGTTTGAGTGGGTCACTTTGACCCCTAAAGACAACTAAAACTAAGTGAGCTAGAAGCACCATTTTTTCTGAGTAGGTAGGCCTGTATGTGGGCTCACTTTTTCTAATTTTGAGTTTCCTAGGTCATGACCTTAGAGTCAAACAAGGTTAAATAGGTGAAACTTCAGATCAGTGACCGAAGTGCCTCCAGGACACGAACGCGGAAACCGAGGGGACAGTGGAAGGGGCTCACGCCTCAACCTGAAAGGGGACAGTGAAAGGGGCTCACGCCTCAACCTGAGAGCTGTGGGACGCCGCCACTCCTGGAACGCCTGTGGAGAGCCCATTCTGAAACGTTAAAGGTCCATTCTGAGCTCTGCGGAGATTATGTAAGCGTTCAAACTTTGACCAACCAAAGGCTCATTTTGCTCTCCTTAAGACGCATTCTGACCAATAAACGGTATTTCTAAGCCTGTAGACAGGCCATCCTAACCTGAAGATAGCCAATTCTGACCGATACCCCATTCTGACCTGTAGAAGGCTCATTCTGACCTATAGCGGGCCTATAATTGGCTGTGGAGGGCACACTTTGCCATGAAAAGACTATTTCTGATCTGTAGACGACCAATGATTAACTGGAGGGCCCACTTGGCATGTAGACGGCTTATTCTGTCCTATAGAGGTCCCATTCTGTCTTATAAAGGGCCCATTCTGACCCGTAGTGGTGCCATGTTCAGACATTGTTGACTGCAGCGCGCCGATTCTGAACTGTAGAGGACTTCTGATGAACTGTGAGGGACTATTTTGACATGTAAAGAGCTCATTCTGGCTTGTGCAGTTGCGTAGGCAGAGGGGGGGGGGGGAGGAGGGGCACAGGTACCACGTGCCTATTCACCCGTATCCTCAGGTCCCGAGGGTCTCGACGTGCACGAGTCGGGCAGGAGCAGTGTTCTACGGGGCTGGGAGAGGGGCCTAAACGGTTTCACGTGATCGACGATCAAGGGCCGGATTAGAGGTCCGGAAGGCCCGGAAGGCTCGAAGGGCTCGTTGTAGGTCACATTAAGGGCCCCGGTCTGTAGAGTCGGGACCTCAAATGTCTGTCAGAGGGCCTCTTGAGTAAATACAAAATCCCTGGGACAATACAGGCCTTTATTTTGGCCAGAGACAACCAACACCGGACAGTCTGCTCCGTGCCAGTGTAGCTCCTGAGGCCACTTGCCAAACAGGAACAAGGTCGGGGCCTGCAATTTGTATTGGTTGGACCCTAGAACAATGAGGGCCCCTATGTCAGTCGGGGACCCACAGCGGTAAAACATAACGGGACAAGTGTCGGCAAGGGGACCCGAGTCGGCTTGGGGAGTATTTGCTGAACAGAGACAGGGATGGATAGCAATTCAGACACTTGCTGCATTTCATTGGCTCAGTATTCCTTTTTGCTCATATGCATGGGGGGGAGGGGAGCTCAGAAAGGCACTGAGGGTCTCAGGTCAGCACTGGGGGTGCGGTGGGGGTTGGGGTGCTTAGGCACCCCGAAAGTGTACAAAGTGACATCCCTTGGGCCCAGGATATCTGGACCTCCACAGCATTCAAAATGGCAGACCCCTCAAGACACTTCAGCGTTCAAACAACGTTGGAAGCATTAAGTCGTTGGGGACCTAAAGCGTCAAGCAAATGTAACGAAGCAGGGGGGGGGGGGGGGGGTGCAAGGCGATGGAGCACCGACATTTCGTGAGGACACGTGTATGTTACATCCAACTATATCATTATTTTCTTGAGGGTTATGCCGTTGAAAAATATCCCCAAGTGACGCTGCTTAAGTCACATGTTCTGTTTTGCATCACCACGCACGCTTGTTTACATCCGATGACATTCACTAGCCCCTCCGGTTCGATTCCCACCGCTGCGTACTTTCACTGAGCCGCTTCCACTAGCATCCAAAGTAGTGCTGACGGCGGAGTCTGGTTTAAAAAGCCTACTTGACGCGAAACAGCGACGGCGTGGGAACCACAATCCGGGGACGGCTGCTCCCGATCCCGGCAGCCTCTTCATGCACTCACCTGTGCCGAGCTTTCCCGACCTGTCGACTGCGCCGCAGTGCACCGACTGGTGCCATGGGCCAGGCCGCTTTCGATTTCGCCACTGCCCGCGTTGCACCCGCACCAAACGCTTTCACTCAACTGTGCCGCGCCGGGGCGCGAGCGCGGCCCGTCGGCGAGCCGGAACCGGCCGGCGGCAGCGGCGCCTCTCAGAGGGAGCAGCGTCCGGCAGGCGCACTGCGGTCTGTCCCGCCTCAAGGGCGCTTCCCAGAAACGAACGTGTGGCAGACAGAAGGCGAGTCGTCCAGTCCCATGGGGCCTCTCAGCGGTGGTAATCCCCGACTGACGGATGGCGGGGTGTCCGGTGACGGCGGCCCGTGTGTCCGGCGGCCGGACGGCGAGTCGTCCAGTCCCATAGGGCCTCTCAGCGGTGGTAATCCCCGACTGACGGATGGCGGGGTGTCCGGTGACGGCGGCCCGTGTGTCCGGCGGCCGGACGGCGAGTAGTCCAGTCCCATGGGGCCTCTCAGCGGAGGCAATCCCCGACTGACGGACGGCGGGGTGTCCGGTGACGGCGGCCCGTGTGTCCGGCGGCCGGACGACGGGTCGTCCAGTCTCAGGGGCGTCTCTCAACGGATGTCTGACAGACGGCGGCGTGTCCGGTCCCAGGGATGTCCCTCAGAGCTGGGCGCCTGACAGACGGCGGGGTGTCTGATCCAAGGGGCGCCTCTCAGAGGTGAGTGTCTAGACAGACGGCGACGTGTCCGATCCCAGTGGTGCCTTTCAGAGGTGAGCGTCTGGCAGACTGCAAGTTGCTCCGTGTCATCTTCCCAGAGGTGAGGGTGGACATCTCCCCCTTGAGAGCACGCTCCCCTCGTCCATATCCGTAATCCGGTAAGCGGACGGCAGCACATCCGGCCACAGGAGGGCGTCTCAGAAGCGGAGATACTCAACAGAGAACGGATGGACCGTCACGGCACCGCACCGTTCAGGGAGTGTCCGGCGTACGGGCCGTGGGATGTCCTGGCACGGGGCGTCTCTGAGAAGTGTGCCGCAGACGGATGGTGCTAAACCTTGCGGAAGGGGCGGTGTTCTCAGATGCCAACTGTCATCAGCCAGGAGGCGGCACACTCGGTCTGAGAGGTGTCCCTCAGATGAAATTTCGTTCTCGTTGCATAGCAGGCATGGGAGGGGTGATTAAGATCAAAGCGGCTTGCGCGCCGTAAAACAAGGACGAATCCCATCCCATCCCATCTCTTCTAGTACTCTTCAAGAAATACAAATACGCCTTTCTATACGATCGAGTGGTCGTGGGCGCCAGTACCGGAATCTGTGAGTATCCATTCGCGAGTTCTGTTCGGATCTGCCCGGCAGTATTTACGCATTGCTATGCAATGCAGAACCAGCCAGAGCTTTTTCGATGTTCTGATTCATGGGACGAAGGTCTGCATCTTTACATGGTTCCCTTTTGTTTGGTCCTTGACTGTAAACAGTAGCGTTAAAGAGGAGCAAGTATTCATGCCCTCAAACTCCTCAAACCCTGGATCACACTGCCAGCGCTCCGAGCGGTCTCGGACCGTCTTTGGACGTGCAGTCGAGCGGGCTCGGACCGCCTCTGGACGTGCAGTCGAGCGGTCTCAGACCGCCTCTGG